GTACAGTCTTTGTTGTTTGTCTGTTGGTGAAAAACATAGTAGCAGTTTTGTCAATGTTTAGTGTAAGGCAGGAATCTTGTAACCAATGAGCTATCTTCCCTATTGCACTTGTAAGTTTTGCTGCAACGTCTGATGTGTTTTTTCCATATGTGTAGATACTTGTGTCATCTGCGAATATTTGTATTTTAACAGATTCACATACTGATGGCAGATCATTGATATATAGTGCAAAAAGAATTGGACCGAGATTTGAACCCTGAGGAAGGCCTGTAGTGCTTGTTTTTTGTGTAGATTGGGTCTGACTTATTCGCACTGTTTGAGTTCGATCTGACAGGTATGATTTCATCCAGTTTACGGTCTTTAATGATAAGCCATTGTTTGCCAGTTTTGAAAGCAAGGTTTCATGGTTGATGGTGTCAAATGCCTTTCGAAGGTCTAGGAATACGGCCCCAACTGCTCCCCCTTTATCCAGGTATTGTTTAATGTTTTCAGTGAGGTGACAGCATACTGTACCTGTAGAGTGGCATTTTCTAAATCCAAACTGCATGGGATGAAACAATGAATTTGTTTGCAAATGTTTTACTAGTTGTCCAGAGACCACTTTTTCAATAGCTTTTGTTAGCACCAGGAGTATGCTGATAGGTCTATAATTTGATATATCAAGTTTATTGCTGGTTTTGTGTATCGGTATGACAACAGCATGTTTGAGGGCTCAAAAACGTTCATCATGTCTTCTTACTGATAATATAATGTTCACGTTCTCTATTCAGACATGTAGAGTGTGCTTTTATTACCTGACAGCCATAAAAAAATTGCTCATTATGGCGGAGAGGGGGTCTCCCATGGCGAATCCCTCCTTTTGACTATAAATGATGTTACTGAACTGGAAGTAAGTGGATTTGGTGACAAACTGTAAAAGGCTGTAAATGTCATCAACTGTGAGGTTTGTGCGTTTGTGGAGTGTTTTGTCCTTGTGTAGTTGTTCCTGTACAATCTGTAGGGTGACATTGACTGGGGTTTTGGTGAAGAGTGATACGATGTCATGAGAAATGAAGATCTCGTCTTTTTGTACTGTTACGTTATTGAGTTCTTTGATCATCCATCCATCCATTTTCTATACACCGCTTAATCCTCATTAGGGTCGCGGGGGGGCTGGAGCCTATCCCAGCCGACTTAGGGCGAAGGCAGGGGACACCCTGGACAGGTCGCCAGTCCACCGCAGGGCCACACC